TCACATCTTCTTGAGAGATTGTGGTTTCTTCTAATAAATAATTAAGATAATAATAATCACTTTCTTTATAGTCTGCAGACTCGAGTAATTTTTTAATTTTCACTTTCTTTACAGCATGTACCTACACAACAAATATGATATCTCTTTCATGTTAGTTTTTTAGAAGGGGGGTGGGGGGGACATTATTCATACATAATAAACTAATACCTATTTTAACAAATGGAGGTAATGTTGTAACAACAGCCACTTGCTAATATAATGAAAGAAACCCAAACAGGCTACAAAAGAGGAAAAAGAACTTCTATAAGGACTAACAAGGCACGAAGTGGATCGGTGGAGCTTAGTGGAGCCTTTAAACTTTTTTTTCAACATAAAATACACTCAGAAATGTATAGGAGCAAATATAGACCCTGTATACCAACAGAAAATGAGGCTGCGGGAAAAGTGATAAATATGCTTAATGAAGGGCTGTGCAGATTACCAAGGACACTCATGGTGGAAGGTACTGTGTCAACTCCTATGATTTCTGTACATCGAAGGCCGAGATGAGATGTACTTGTTGTGGCTTACTGTGTTCTAGAGTATTAGGGCAGCAATACATTCATAATTCCTGAATTGACTATGTTGGATTGATTTTTCTTAAGGATGGACAGTTTGTAACTTACCTAATACCCCTAAGATTTGGCTACCCATAGTTTGAAGAAAGGTGAACTGAACTAGGTGAACTGAACTACATCACGCCATTGTTATTCTACTACGTTTTCCTGCATCACTTCCATTTTTTTGTGAAGATATAGTAGAAAACAGAAATTGTGCAAAACCATAACTGATTTATTGGTAGGAAAAATAGTGGCATAGTCTCAAACACCTAGCATGCGTTAAAAAAAAATTATGTGAAGTCCTAAGCTACATGTTGTGCGCAAACAGAAATAGAAAATTAAACAGAAGAGTGGAAAACAAACCCAACAAAAGTACAAACTACAACAACTAAACGAAGGCAAGGAGATGCCATGGTAAGAGCACTCATTTAACAACGGCAATGATCAATAAGCATCAACTATTGACGGGAAGAAGAAACTCACCAAAGTGTTGATCAGCCCGCGTGGAAAAGATGACAAACCTAAAGAAACCCCCATTTATTATAAAAGCACCAGAACTCCAGAAGAAGAGATGGGAATCATTCGAAATGGAAATTTCATTGAATAAGAATTTATTTTTGATCGATGCTCCAACTTCTGAACTTCTGGAACGCAGGTTGAATAAGAATTTATTTTTGATCGATGCTCCAACTTCTGAACTTCTGGAATGTAGGTTGAAAGACCGGCGCTTTGGCTTCACAAACAAATGCGAAAAAATAAGTCCACGGGGGTTAGGTTTGTTTAAACCGGTAGTTAGACACCGTTAAGGAAGTATCGTTCCGTAAATGTTTACAAGTGTGCACAATAGTCAACGTATATCAGTAGTAGCACAATGTACATCATGATAAAGCAAAGTCCAAGCATTTAATAAGAATATGTGTCCTTTATAAGATAAGTTAAGATAAGATATGAAATATTTATATCTATGCAAATGCACATTGTCCTGTAGCTCGGATATGAGTGCTTAGCACAAAGATAAAAAAACCTTGTGCGGCTTAAGTGATGTTTTCTTTGTTAAATAATCTCGAGTACATGACGTCAGACTAGGCTTAAAATTGTCTGTTTCCTGTCTAGCGAGTCAGATTGTTTTGTATGCGGTGGTTGATTCTATGTCTATTTCTACAACTTACGATTGGATTTGTTGTAACTGTGTGAAGGTTGTCTTATATGTTTCTTGATATTAATATAAAAACCACTATTTTATTTAATTTAAAAAAACGATTTATAGTGCACTCATAAATTAAAAACCAGTCGTAAAAATAGATAATAGAAGTAGAAACAACTTCAAAACAACCTGAAAGAATAAAACTAGCTAATACACTAGGTCTTGTAGAAGAAAGTATACCATTGCCTTAACACAATTCAAAGTATGTTCTATATTTGTACATTTTGCTTTTGGAACAAAGTAAATAGTTCACTTACGTATATTAATAAACACTTAATATTCAAACAAAAAAGTGGTGCATGTCTCTTTAAACTTAAAAAAAACCACTTAATATTCGTGAATAATTTAGGGATTTAATTCCTAAATTTAAATTAAAATAAGAAACAATCTATAGAAAACAAATGATTAACTTAATCAAACAAGAACATTTTAGCCATTCTTACATGAGTTAGGTTGACTTCACTTTCCTTGTCTGTTATAAAGGACCCCTCACGTCTTTCTTTACTCCATGTAATTAAATTAAGATTGTGACTTGTATTTATAACATGTGAAATATTTATATCTATGCGAGTGCACTAAATTAAGATTGTGACTTGTATTTCTAACATAAGAAATATTTATATCTATGCGAGTGCACATTGTCCTGGATTTGGAAGAAAATATAACAATATATTTTTTTGCACCTAATAGTTATGAACAAGTAAAAGTACATGATCCAATAATCTAATGTCCCGCGCAAGGCTAATTGGTGAGATAATAGCTTTTTATTGGCTGATTGGTACTGTTGTAATAGCTTTTGTCCTTCGTGTAAGAAAATGATTGGATAAGTCACACGTGTTAACCTGACAGCTGGCTACTACAACTGTCCAAGTGACGTTAGTCCTAAAGACTGCTATCGACGTATGACACAACCATAGTGTTGTGTGGGAGTGCTAGTGTTGAAACATCCAAGCCCAGGATGTCCATCTGAGGCCTAAAGCTCAACTCACCGTAAGTGTAGAGATATCTAGCTCGGACATGAGTGTTTAGCTCAAAGATAAAAAATCTCGCGCGACATAAGTGAGGTTTTCTTGGTTGATCTCGAGTAAAATTGTATGTTTCATGTCTAGCGAGTCAGATTGTTTTCTATGAGGTGACTGATTCTAGTGGTGGATACATCAATTTATATAAAGAAGTATCTCAGAATCTATGATTTGAATACATACTTAACTGTTGTTATCACATTTTATTACGTGTGACAATGATATCTTCTTTTATTACCATGACATTTTTTCCTACTTTTCTTCACTATTTTCTGTATGAGGCCTAAAGCTCAACTCTACATAAGTGTAGAGATATGTAGCTTGGATATGAATGCTTAGCTCAAAGATAAAAAAACCTCGTGCGGCTTAAGTGAGGTTTTCTTTGTTGATCTCGAGTACATGACGTCAGATTAGGCTTAAAATTGTCCGTTTCCTGTCTAATGAGTCAGATTGTTTTGTATGAGGTGACTGATTATATGTGTATTTCTACAGCTTGCGATTGGATCTGTTGTAACTGTGTGAAGGTTGTCTTGTATGTTTCTTGATATTAATATAAAAGCCACTATTTTATTTAAAAAAAACTAATATATAGTGCACTCATAAATTAAAAAAAAGTGGTAAAAATAGATAATAGAAGTAGAAACAACTTCAAAACAAGCTGAAAGAATAAAACAAGCTAATAAACTAGGTCTTGTAGAAGAAAGTAAACCATTGCCTTAACACAATTCAAAGTATGTTCTATATTTCTACATTTTTCTTTTGGAACAAAGTAAATAGTTGACTTATGTATATTAATAAACACTTAATATTCGAGAAGAATTTAGGGATTTAATTCCTAAATTTAAAGTAAAATAAGAAATAATCTATAGAAAACAAATGATTGACTTAATCAAACAAGAACATTTTAGCCATTCTTACATGAGTCCAATTCACTTCACTTTCCTTGTCTGTTATAAAAGACCCCTCACGTCTTTCTTTACTTCATGTAATTAAATTAAGATTGCGACTTGTATTTATAACATATGAAATATTTATATGTACGCGAGTACACATTATCCTGGATTAATTTGGAAGCAAATATAATAATATAATTTTTTCACCTAGTAGTTGTGAATGAGTAAAAATACATGATCTAATAATCTAATGTCACATGCAAGGCTAGCTAATTGGTGAGATAATATTCAGATTGATTGGCTGATTGGTACTGTTTTAATAACTTTTGTCCTTCGTGTAACAAAATGGCTCGAGAAGTCACATGTGTGTTAGCCCGATAGCTGGCTGCTGCAACCGCCCAAGTGACGTTAGTCCTAAAGATAGCTATCGACGTATGACATAATTAACCATAATGTTGTGTGGGAGTGCTAGTGCTAAAACATCCAAACTCATGATGTCCATTTGAGGCCTAAAGCTCAACTCAGCGTAAGTGTAGAGATCTCTAGCTCGGATATGAGTGCTTGACTCAATGATGAAAAACCTCGCCCGGCTTAAGTGAGGTTTTCTTTGTTGATCTCGAGTACATGACATCAGATTTGGCCTTGGGCTCGACCGTAGTGTTGAAAATGTCATTAAACTCGGCCGAGGGTCATCCGAGGCTACAATTTCGGTCCTTTGGTTTTATCTTAGTGATATGGGAAACATTATTTAGCATGGCCTCAGCTGGACTTGCCGTAGTAAATTCTTGAATTTCATTAATGTAACGTTGATACCCCTGAAGTATATCGCAGTACATTTTGGATCAAATAAAAAGTTTCCTTCACATGAGAAGTATGAATAAATCTGATGCACAGTGATATTTATGTAAATAAATCAAGGTTTCCTTTCGTTGCAAAAGTGGATCATTGTGTGCAAAATGTTCCGTGGATGATGAAAAATATTGAAAACCATCAAAGTGACTAGACTAATATATAGTGTAACTTCAGATGATCAAAAGCGGAAACGTTCGCATTTCTAATGGGAAGATTATATTTTTGGAACCATACTTTAGGACAACTTCATCAATTTCAAATTAAATTAATTTTATCGAATTTGACCTGAGACCATTTTAATTTAGTTAGACAGCCGTAAAAAGAATTATAATACCATCATAACCGCTTGGAGGGAGTTGGTTGGTAAGTTCGTATATCCAAAACATTTGAGACGGTTGCGAGTTTTCCACAGAATATACTCAGAAGCCAACACGTGTTCGAGCATTCGGCAGTGCTTTTACCTCAAATAACTGCTCTTGATTCAGGACATATAAACAATCATAATCATAAACAAGAGAAAATTTATTTATGCCAAAATACAACAAAACAAATAAGAAGAAGGTCCGATTCGGTCAGACATGATGGGCAATTTGAAACTTGCAGACAGTTTGCTGTTGAAATGCATTTCTTCTTCAACAGCCATGGTTCCACACACTTCCTGGATTTACAGAGGTTTCGTTTCATCTACAAGGCCTTCACAAAAAGTGAGTAATTTTTGCTTTTGTTTTTTCAATTCACGATTATCAATTTCTTAAGGCGTTGCTTTTTTTTGTTTCAATTCCGGTTATCACGTCGATCTTTTCGGTAGTTTGTGTTCTGTACAGCATATGTGCTTTTACTTCATTTGATTTAGGATATTTTTTATTTTTTGGCTTAATCATTTGTTCGTGTATGTACTTTTATTGTTTAATCATTGAATCATATTAAACTGAATCAAATCAAACCAAATATGAATCATACTCAATTTGATTAGAATTTGATAGTATTTTCTCAAATCGTATTCAATTGAATTGAATCGAAACCGAAAAAACATAATAAAACATAATTGGATTAAAGAAATTCAATAAAACTTTCATACATTATTAAGAAATAGCAAATTCAAATCGAACTAAATCAAACCAAACAAAAAATGTTATGATTTTTGTATGTTAATATAAATTCTTTAAATCTATTTGAAACCAAACTGAATCGAAATCGATAAGAACTAAATAGAAAACCAATATGATCACCCTTAATCTAGTTGGTCTTATTCGATTTAATCTAGTCTGATATATATGTTTGAGTCTGGTCTAAAATTGAAATCATTTCCATTTTAAAAAAATCTTCACTCTCACTAAATTACTATAATTAGTTTTCCCCACTTTTAAAAATATTCTAAGTGAGGTGAAAATTTCAATTTAAAAGAATTCATGGGATGCAAATTTTAGTGTTTAGCAGTTTAGGATGCACAATGCATTAATCTATGTGATGTAAATACCAATAATTTTAAAAATAGATTGGATTTCAAATTTAGAGGAAAGGCTGGGGACCACAAACTAATTTCCATAAATAATGTCCTATATATTCTTTTTCTCTATATTTTAGTTATCATTTTTATTTTCAAAACACTATTTAGATTTTAATGAAATTCTTTCTTATCCTGTAAACTTTCAGATATATTTTAATTGCAGTTTTTTAAATTTTTAATTCAAATCTTAATTTTTGCTGGATTTTTTTAAGTTCTTGGAGTTCTAGTTACAGAGGACTATTTCAGAGGACAATTTCAGTATCAACATTTTTATTTAAATCAATGAAAGGACGAAACTATTGGAATAATGGATATCCAAAAAGATCTCTGTAAGGAATCTTGAAAGCATTTTTTTTAAAAAAAGAAGAAAACTTATTTATTAATAATAATGGAAGTTACAAGAAACAAAACAAATACCATGGGTCAGGCATAGAACTGACCAGCCTACGAGGACCCGACAAGTTTGCTAACTCCGCATCATGTTAGGTTAATCTAACAGCATCGTTGTACTTACTACTAAAATAAATGGATAAAAAACTAGAGCTATTAAATCGGAAAGAACAAATAGAATCAAATTTCATGATTTTTTCAGTCACCAGCAAGGAAGAAGAAGTTTGATCAACCTCTTCCAAAAAAGACATCATTCCGAATTGACCAGACATCAGGAAGGGGAAGAGGTTTGTCCAGCCACCTCCAAAGGAGGCATCCCACTTGTAACAATTAATGAAATTTCAGGCGGTGTTGATCTAGTAGCACTGCCCTGCGCTATCTAGATTCCCTTTCTTGGACAACCCTGACTTGGTTGTGCTCCTCTTCCTCCCACTTTTCCTTTTCCTCCCACTTATTTCCCGGGTGATCCTCCCCGACGCTAATCTGCCTGCATCGAGGGGCCATAAGGCTTGTCGCCCACCCACGACCCCATGGGCAATATCGATTAGTGTGAACCAGAAGTCCAGAGCTCCACAAATGATTTGGGAGTCTCTCATATTTGAAATATATCCCAACAAACATTTAGCTCTACGAATTATGAAGTACAATCAGTACATCTTTTATGATGATCATGCTTAGAGCTTTAGTGGTAGTAGATCATAAGAAACTCACATTAACCAACAGAGACACATTTCTCCTATCTTGATTTAGAAATGCGAGAATAAAGTGAGTCCTAGAGTCTCACATAGCCACATTGAAAGATGAGTGATGGTTGTGCAAAAAGACTCCTCTAGTGACACCTATGAAATTGTTTTACACAAGTTTTGTTAGTGAAGTACTTAAGACCTTTGAATTTATGAATTTTCACTGCAAAGCTTCAAAATACTTTAATTATGAATCAAGGTCTCAAAGATAAAAATTATCCATATATGGCTCGCATGTAGGGATCGTCAACGGGCTGGGTACTACACTAGCCCAAAACCAATGGGTATGGAAATTGGAATAGGGCAAGCTGGATTCAATAAAAAAAATTAATTAAAACGCCTGGACTGAACTTTTATAAGCTTTTTCAAGTACTTTTTTTTTTATTTGAGACGCACAAATACCACACTAATTCTTCTTATCTATGCTTATTAAACTCTCATTAGTCTTTATTTAGTTTGGCCTTGAAATAATAATATAAATAAAGTTATAATTACTGTTAAGATTCAATCAGGATCTTATCTAAAAAACTATATGGTGCTTCCATCATTTTATATTACCGGTTATCTATTTAGTGAAGAATTAATTAACAAATTGTGTATAAATGGGCCTCCATGCTCGACGTAGTAGGGGTTGATAATGGGATGGCCGATTAATGGGCTGAACTGAATTTGAAATACAATACTTTATCGTATGCCTATCCCTTCCAATAGTGGCGCTGTGACCTATATGAGTCTTATGTGACTAAAGGCCTAAAATATTATGGAGTATAGATTTTAATTTTCTTAATTTACTATTTATTTTATTCCTTTTTTTTTGGTATTTTTCTTCACAATTTTTTTAGATTAATACTAAAAATTAAAATTAAAAACTTAAGGAGTATAATATTTGAAAGTTTTAAAATTAAAATAGAATTAAAACTAAAACTTACAGAGTACAATATTTTAAATATTAAGTTAATAGTTTTGAGTACATAGTTCGAAGTTTGTATGTGAAGCGGTCCAGCCCAGGTGATCACCGACTCACTCTCCCTTACGTGAATTTTTGGGTTCGAAACTCAATGTAGTGAGTTTCAACTCAAATTATTTCAGGCCTCCCCGCTCCCCTCCCCAGACTCTACTTGGAGTAAAAAAAAAAATGTTCGAAGCGTGTGTACAATTTGGCCCAACATATAATGTGTTTTTTTCCTATTCGTTTTCCATTCTACATGACAGCTTGCCTTTTGTGAATTTGGGCATTTTCGAATTTCTGCTGTAAGTTACAAACATTCCTGCCATGTGAAGTTGTTTATGATCGAAATTGATGAACAGACGAAGGTGGATAAAGAGACGTGTCAAAGAGTGGTAGAAGCAGCGGGAGCAGTGAAAGAGGGTGCCAAAGAGGTCAAAGGTGTTGTTCAAGAAGTCAAAGAAGCTGTTGCTTCCGGGGCTGGATCGGTATGTACAAAAACACATAAGAATCAATTCTAAATTTCACTATAGCTTGAGATCGCGATTTGAGAGAGATGATACGTACTAGAACAATTTAAACCAAGTAATATATTAATTAGAATATATTTGACGTTTTTAATTGGATTGAGATGAGATTTACTAGTCTAATTTGATTAATCTAATTGATTCCAATCCGGTTTGTTTAAATAATTAAATTTGGTTTAGTTCGGTGTGTTTAAATTTTGTCTGGTAGATGTCAATTATATATGCATTTTAGTATTTTACAAGTATTAAGGTTCGGTGTGATCCAGTCTATTTAAGTCTAGTCTGATTTGAAATTGAAATCAAGTTTTTTTTATGAAATTGAAATGAATGTGATTCTCTGGTTAGAGTCGAAAATTGAAATATGTGCTCTCGTCATTTAGAGAAAATGGAGTGACTTTTCTCAAAACTTTTCTCAAATTAAACTAACTTTGCATGCTCTCTTAGGAATATTATTGATAGAAGGGAAAATGTACATAGAAGGGAAAATGTACATATATATACCCCTGTAGTAGAGGTGGAGGAACAAATATATCCCTGTTCAATTTTTCGAAATAAATATACCTTTGAACTTTTAAAAAGGTGCAAAAATATCTCTCATTTTTTATAAAAGAGCAAATTAATCCTTATTCACTTTAAATTAATAAGATAAATTTCAAAAAAGACCAAAAATAAATTAATAAATCGAAATTAAAAAAATTAAAAATGTGATTGTGTCCATTTCTCCCTTTTATTGTTTTTATATCACAATTTAATATTTTTAACATAAAATATAATTTCAAAATATGTAATTTTATAGTGCAAAGAATGCAAAAAAAAAAAAAAATTCTCTACATTGCAAAACATATGTTAGCACCTTTTCGAAAGAATCTTAAACATATAGTAAACTTTTGAAATAATATTTCATACTTAAACACTATTAAATTGTGATATAAAAAGTATAAAAGGGACAGTTGGACACTATTACATTTTTAAAATTTTTTGTTTTTAAATTTCGAATTTATAATTTATATTTGGTGTTTCTTGAAAGTTATTTTATTAATTTAAAATAAATAAGGATTAAGTTGCCCCTTTATAAGAACATGAAAGATATTTTTACACCTTTTTAAAAGTTCAAGGGTATATTTGTTCCTAAAATAGAACAGGGGTATATCTGTTCCCACACCCATACTACAGGGGTATATTTGTTCCCACATTTTCCCTTGATAGAATAATTATAAAGAATACAGATAATACTAATCCGAGCCCCCGAGGTGGCAATTCAAGATGTAAGAACTCCTTGTGTATCCTTCTTAGCTATTTGAGCTAGTTCATGCATGTTTGCTCTCCATCTTTATTGAGCTGAACCGAACCTCAGAGGACACTGCTATCTCCTTCACCGAGTTTTTCTACTTTTAGTCCTTCGACTATAATGTCATTGACACTTTTGGTACTCGACTTTGATTTTTTCCACTTTTAGTCCTCAACTATTATACTAGAGACACTTTTGGTACCCCTGTTTGAAAATTTTCATTTATAGTCTTTCGGCTTACATAAAAGTGACACTTTTGGTCCTTCAACTATTATAACAGTGACATTTTTAGTCTTTCACATATTGTGTCAAAATCATAGTGGTAGGACTAAAAGTGTCAATTTGATAATACCAAGGGACTAAATGTGAAACACTTTGAAGTCGAGGACTAAATGTATCTTTAACACAATAGTTGAGGACTAAAAATGGAAAAATTAAAAGTCGAATATCAAAAGTGTCACCAACACAATAGTCGAGGGACCGAAAATGGAAAAAACTCCTCCTTCACCTCGTGAAGAGTATCCCAAATCTGGAAGTATCTCTCGAAGTTAAAGATGTTACGAATGGGGGTGTGCATAAACCGGTCCAGACCGCATTTTGGACCTGAACCGGACCGGTCCGGACCGGTCCGGATTATATAGGTCCGGTCCTCGGTCCATTGAAAATTGAGATTCCGGGTTCCGGTCCGGTCCGGGTCAAACCCGGAAAAAAACAGGTCCGGACCGGTAACCCGGTTATTACTATTATTTTATCCGTTTTAGTGTAATAGTGTCAATTGGGTTTGGGGCGGCACAACCTAATAGGGTTAATTATTTTACTCAACATGCTCTTTGGGCAGATTCTTGTTTTTACTTTGCCATGGATATTGGCAGATTGCCACGACAGTGTTGCTTCTTTAGCTAAAACTAGAGTATCGTGGGTTATGTTTGCTAATTGCTATGGACTAGTTAACACTTTGATGAAAATATTTTTACTGCTTGTTACTTTCGTTTTTTGACATGGTTGCATGACTACATAGTGCATATCTGCATTATACATAAAGACAACAATCAGTGATGGTCCGATGGATATATTTGTTATGCTTATTGGGAGTTCTTGCCTTAGGAAATATTTAATCTTAACATTTAGTGACTAGTACTTGAATTATATAAACTCATGATGCATTGCAGGTTTGCTGTATTAAGAAATAAGGATTGCACACATTTATGCGTTCATAAAAAATTCAAAAACTAAAGTGCATTTTAATACCGGTCCAATCAGGTCTAAAACCGGACCGACTCGGAATAAACAGGTCCAGACCGGTCCGGTCTTCGGTCCATCCAAAATATAGATTCCGGTTCCGGTCCGGGTTTGGACCGGTGCACACACCTAGTTACAAACCTAGTACATATTAAGTCCATATCAATACCATAAATCCGTTATCAAAAGACCAGCCGATTAGCAGGATGGAACACCTTGTTTATAGGTCACCGATTAAGCCCATAATCGACCGGTGTGAGATCGTTATAGTACCCCCGTTTCGAAGAGCTAACTTCCTCAGGGGTCAAACCAACATTCCTCACGAACCTAACCTATACCCTTAAGCCTAGAGTGTAGAACTCATTCCTAAAAGACCAACCGATTAAAAGGAGGGATACTTATAAGCCACCAGTCAAGTTCATATTTGATCGGTGTGGGATCTTACACCCTTCTCTGCTACCGAATCATAGATCTTCCAGAGAAGACCGCTTGAAAGGCTCGAAGATACGTTGTACAATCTCCTGCAATAATTATTGGCATATAAACTTCGCATTAATACATTATACATAGCACCATTTTGCGTTGTTCTGAAAAAATTGGGAATGGGTTATAAAAAGGTTAAGAACCCATTTACCCTCATGTTTTCAATGGTTCAAAATTCAAATAACACTTTTACTAATCAAGGATATAATTGGAAAGAAACATGATTCTCTGAACTCTTATATGGCCGTATCAGTACCCTTAAAGAGTATAAGGCATGTCAAACTAATGTAAAAGTGATGGCAAATAACTAGCAGGCAGTGAAAAGGGTAGCGGAGAAAGCTATAGAGAAAGCGGTGGAGGGCGAGGAAGAGAAAGGGCCGTGGGAGAAAGTGAAGGCTACTACTAAGGCTATCAAGAAAGACGTCATGGGCGACAAATCCGACTCCAGCTAAATCATTCTTAGCTTACCTCTGCATTGGAAAGGAAAAGATAAAGAAAACACTCAGAACTGCAAGAGGCTAAGAGTATATTTTTGTAAAGGAGTTGGAATGTTATTTGATGTCCCGGGATAAATGAGCACTTTTTTCTTCCTTTGGATGTGAAATTGTAGATTTTAAAGATTGATAGTTGATATTTGGAAAGAGAACTTAGAGGCAGTAACACTATTGACCACTTGGGCTCCATTTTTATGTGTTGAGAAAATGCTAGGAATAGAGTGAAAATGAGGGTAAGTTTCGGGACAGTTTCAAGCTAGGTTATTTAGAAATACTATAAGGATATTTAAGGATCTTACTTAGAGGCCAAATGTATTACGTAATTCTTATCAAATATAAAATAGTGAATTTAGGATCTTACTTAGAGGTGAATTTAGGATCTTACTTAGAGGTCAAATGTATTACGTAATTCTTGTGATTACAAAGAAACTGCTCGAACGGTAGGTCAGTGTGAGTTTAAATACAACACAAGAGATAATTCTATTGCTAAGCTCTGTCAAAATGCTAACCATTTACAAATGACAATGTATTCAATGCGGGTATTTATACTAAGAGGGAGTAGGTGGGATGATGACGTGGTTGGACCTGGTTGGTTGTCACCTATGCCGCCTTTGCACCCATGCCTCTACTTGCTATTGTCATAATTCAACATTAACTGCGGCTCCCACTTGCTGACTACCCGTTCGGGTAGTGTGTTCGTCGTGCGGGGCCCCTTTGCCAGTGTTTGGATGTACATACTTTGTTTGATTGTCTCAAGTGGACAAATCTACCTGAATACTGTTCAGGCAGACACAGGTGTGTGCCTGCTTGCCGATCGCGTTGGGCTTCCTGCTTGCCCTTTGGGCCGGGTGTATTGGGCTTGAGCCCAATACCCCAACACGAGTCTCCCACTTCCTATGTCTCGAACAATAGTGAGTGCATAAGGAAGTAGAAGAATATTGCCCGAATGCTGCTCGGGCATGTGGCGGACGGGATTTCGCCAGATCCCGAGGCATAGTTTTGACGGTTTTTGCGACTGCCGTTTCAATTTCCCGATACTTGTTATGATTACTTGTTGGTGTTTCTCCGCGTGACACGTGTCCCTGTAATCATTTTCGTCAATGTGTCCTCTCCTGATTGGTTGACGAACCGGCGTGTCAGTTTATAAATAAGGCCTTCATTCTTTGGTTATGAGTTTCCAAAATTTTACGTTCTTCATGCTACAGCTCTGCCTTCTCTCTAGAGCTTAGTTATCGGTAGTGTTCAGGTATCCTTCACCCCTTCATTTTTTCTCCCCTCTTGTTCAGTAACATGTCGCGTCGATCATCCTCCTCCGATCCTTCTGTTCCTGAGGTGGTTCCTCATGGAGAAGTCCAAGGCGATGTTGTAGATAATGCGGAAAACTCAGGCCATGTTCCCGGCGATGCCTCCTTCCCACGTACTTACTAGGATGGCACTAGGTCCGGTGATGAGCTTGAGTCTATGGAGGTTGGCCCTCCAGGCGATGTTCCTCGTCACAAACTTGATTTAACCCTAATTCGGCTACGGCGACAAAAGCTCACAGGCCCAAATAGGGCCGCCATTCCAACCTTGATTCCTGACCCGGTGGACTTCCGTCTTCAAGCTGGGCTTCACCCCATGCATCATTTCCCCAGGATGGTGGTAGTCCATTTGGACTCGGTGAAAGCCGACCTTAGATTCCCGCTCCACCCCTTTTTAGTTTCTTTATTTAATTTTTACAATGTAGTGCCGGCCCAAATTATGTCCAATTCCTACTGGGCTATGGCCGCTTTCATCTGCCGTTGTGTAGATGTTAAAGTAATTCCCACCCTAGATCTCTTCCACTACTTCTTTACAGTAATTCCTTAGCAGGCCCTTGGGTATCTAGTTGTAAGTGCCCGATCGGGTCATATTTTATTTTCTGATGCCCCTCCTCCATCAAAGGCTGAAAAGATCGATTCTTCTTTGTCTCTGTCCCGGACGGTCTGATACCAGGGAAGTGGAATGCATTCCCGCCGAAGTCTTCCGAGCCGTTCATCTTTGAGGAACTCAGCAAAGATGTCATTGCTGTGGAGACTGGCGGTTGCTACAAAATCAGGTCCTATCTGAGTATCTGACCTCCGATCGGCTTATAAAGGCCGGGATAGGTACTGCCCGTATTCCTAGATCTACTTGATTGAACCCAAGTTCCAAGGCTCGGGCGGTCTTTCCCGTGCGAGAAACGCTCTGTTTTGTTTCACACACGCTGAAGCTGCTAGGTACTAACATTTTCCTTTGTTATTTTTAGCTCCCAACCCAGACGCCACTTCGGAATCTGAAGGAGCCAACCACCACCAGAAGTTATGGATGACAGCAGGTTGTTCTCAGTCGGTGTTGATGAGGAGCCACAAGCCTCCCAACCGGCTCAAGAACCGAGAAAGAAAAGAAAGAGAGTGAGGAAGGCCGATCAGGCCAGCTCTTCTCAGGTTGTTTCACAGGGTGCAGAGCAATCTCAACCCGTTGAGGACGCTCCACCCATGCCTGTTCAGGATGTCCAACCCTTTCAGGAAGCTTCCCCTGATCAGCCCAACATGGGAGATATGCTTATGGACAATTTGTTTGGTCCTGAGCATTTGCAAGAGTTCCCTGAGCACTTTAGCTCTGTTCAGGGTTCTAGTGCAGAGGCCCACCAGGCTGATCTGGCCGGGTGCTTCGAGCGGATTTCTTTGGAAGATCCTGCCCACGACATTCTGGAGCGTAGTGGAGCCATGGCATCCCGGATCTGGTCCACTGCTTCTTTCTTCAATGACCTTCCGCTCCCTCAACTTCCCGTTGAGCGTACAGAGGAATGCCTTGCCCAGGCTGCTCTCAAGGTATTTTCCTTCCCTGAGCTATCTATTTGTATAAGGTTCCGTGAACTGTGTGATGTTTCTGACTATTCTCCAATACTCCAGATGGGGCTATACAGCCTTCAGATGCGGGAGGCCCGGTTGTCCAAGGAACGTGACTTGATCGTGGCCAAAGAAAGTGCTGAGTAGGCCATTTCTAAGACTGTGCAGTCGGTCGAGGATGAACGCCTCTCCTTCGCTGAAGAGCGGAAGAAGCTTGAGGCCAGGCTGGGGGAGCTGCGCGTTCAGGTGGTGATAAGTCCATATTTAGACACGCATTTGATGCGTGTTCGGGTCGGATTTTGATGGTTTTCCTGGCTTTAAGGCGTTGCAAATCTCAATTTTAGCTCAAGTTATGTTTACTGGGCGTTGGTTCGAGTTTTGTGTTGTTTGTAGTCAAAATCAGGGAATTTGAGCCCGGCACCGGCACTTGAGGAACAATCGGGATGATTTGAGAAGCATTTGAGAATGATTTGATAGCTTTGGAGGTCACCGGAAGATTCACGATGAAGATTTGAAGGAAAAAGAGCTCTAGGATTGGCTACGGGGTCAAAAGAAGATGAATGAAGCTTGAAAACGACGATCAGGATGACCTTCTGTCAATCGTTCAAGCATATCTCTTTGTAGAAACATCCAATGTACACGATTCAAGTTCCATATGAAAGCTAACTTCAAGGGCTACAAATGATATGAAGACACGTTTGCGAGAATCTGAGAGGAAGAAGGTGAAAACAGACAATGAAGTCAGATGATCTCTGCTGCGATTTCAGAAAGACACCTTCCACCGTTTGGATCATATCTCTTGATTGGATGATTCAAATCACATTCGGCAAATTGGGTTGGATAGAGGACTTCATTATCTACAACTTTCTTGAAGGAAGTTTTGTCAAATTCGGAAGTTAAGTAGGCACGATCGTGCCCTCAAAGTCAGACACGATCGTGCCTGAAGAGAAAAGCACCGCGGAGCTACTGCCAGCCAGGCACGATCGTGCCTGCCCAAAATGCGCGTTTTTTCTCCGGAGGCACGATCGTGCCTGGCATCGTGTCTGGCTCCGAAAATCCTAATTCAGCTCAAATTTCAAGGGGGGAGCTTAGAGAGAGTGCCTAGCACGAATTTTAGAGGGCTTTTCAGCCTTGTTCATCAATCTTTTGGGATTCTTTGTAAGTTCCACCTTTTTAATTAATGACAATTAATTCTTTTTATTCCAATTCTATTGATTCTTCAATTATGAATTGTGAGTAGTTTTAATTAGGGATTTGGGGTTGATGAAGGGGTTAATCATGATGTATGGTTAGATTCTTTTCGGTTTAATTTCATGAATGCCGTTTAATTTGTGTTTGAATAATGTAATTGATATCTCTTGTAACCTAGACTGCAGCTAGAATTACAATTGCATGTAGAATGAATTAAGAGAGATCTAATTTGTTCTAGGACACATTCACACACACTTAATCGTTCGCTAAGAGATTAGTAGCGATTAAGGGGCCGTAAGCTCGCTCGTTTTGGCAATAATTTAAGATCTTGTCGCATGAGAGATCAGCCTGGACTCCTAAATTATTGTACTCTTCGCCATGAGAGCGGTAAGAACTTAGTAATGATTAGCCAGGCTCAATTAAATTAAATTCATGTAATTAGGCCTGTTCTGCCAGAAATCTGGTTAACCCCGGAATCGATCCCTGTTCCCTTCGTCATTAATTAGAAAGAACTCCCTAGTTTAATTGTTCGCATTAGTTTTATTTTCCAAACCAACCAATCTCGCACGACGCTTTTATTTTGTTTTCTTTTTAATCGCTGAATTTAATTAATTCTTGATTCCCTTTTGTGTGTCCCTGTGGAGACGATACTCGTACTTACACCACTATATTACAATCTTTTTAAGTGCGAGAAAACACACATCAGTTTTTGGCGCCGTTGCAGGGGACGGTGTCGGTTTAAGGGTTAATTAATTTCAGCGAGAATTTTTTTAGTTAGTTTTCTTTTTGTTCTTCGTAGGATTTTCTGTGCTAACCTTTCAGGGTTTTTTCAAAGAGGCATGAGATGAACCCATTCAGCCAAATTCCTGGAGGAAGTCCTTTTCCCCAAACCTCCATGGAATTTTCACCATATACGTCATACCCTCCTTACACTCCTTCTCCTCAATATTACACACCTCATCAAAATTACTCTCCTACACCACAAAATATTCAGCCTTCTTATTCGTACACTCCAACCACACAACCCTTTCATTCTGATTCTTACTATCCTTCATCACATTACCCTTGGGTAAGCGTAAGACGAGGCTCCATTCTTGAATTTATGCTTCTAAATAAAACGCCTGAGGAAATATCTGAATGTTTT